TGCGCTCGATGTCGATGGAGTACAAGCCATCGGCGCCTGCCGCATCCGCACTCGCCACTTCACCTCCGCATGCATAAGGTCTTTCTCCTGCACCTCGGCAATGGCCTTCGTTGTCACATCGCACCATGCACGCCCATCAACCGTCTTCGATTCCCATGACCTGCAATCAAGATTAGAACGTGAGAGGCTCACTTTGATCATGTCCCAGTAACGTAATTTTTGTTTCTCCACATGCCGCTTCCCAATACTCAGCTGACCATATAATAGTTATTTCGGTATCCGCGTCGAATCCATACGGCTCACATGACCGAGCCACCTCAGGTGTCTCAGCAAAAGTATGCAGTCCACTGCATACGTGCCACTTCGACGCCACACTTCCGTGTCAGCAACTTTGTCGCCCTATCCGATTCGCAGAATCCGTCGCAAACACTGATGATGGAATCGCTCGAGATATCGCACATCTCGCCGGTACATCGTCCACGTTTCACCGCGGTATAGTAGAACGGACAGCACCATGGATTGGTACACCAGCAGCTCCGCGCCAACGGTAAGTTGGTGGTTGTTCCACACTCGGTACTCAAGCTTCACGAATGCCGTCGTTGCCTTCGACAAGCGAATACGCATCTCACTGTGTAGCTTCTGGTCAGTCGAAATCGCACTCCCACGGTAGCAGAAGCGGGAGGTGGTTTCCAATACTTGTTCAGCAATGCTTATTTGTGGCAATATTGCAGATTGTACCTTCGGTGAAGGCTGAAAGAGACAGACAGTTTTGCTTGTGTTGATGGTGAGCCCGAATTTGGCCGCTGTCGAAGCCAGAGCACTAGTCATGTGCTGCAGCTCATCCACTCTGTGCGCAAACAACGCAGTCGTCAGCAACGATCCACCTACTGATACTTGTCTCACAGACTAGAGTTCTCGCATCGAAATAACAGATGTTCAGCAACCCACCATCAAAACGGTGCTCCACACGAACGTTGTAAGCACAAGCCGCCTCAAAAGCACAAGACATCATGGTATGAAGAGAACTAATAATCAGGGCAGGAGCTAAGACAGCCTTGCTTCACACCTATGATAACTGCAATGTCATCCGAGGTCTCTCCACTCAGCTGCACCGTCGCTCGCATGCCACTGTGCAGACATTCAATTGAACTTACAAACTTGCGCGGACAAGCAAACTTACCGCACACCAGCCACAATGCCTCGCGGTTCACTGTTTCAAATGCCTTGGTGAAATCAACAAAAAGCGAGTACAATGGCTGGTGTCGTTCTCTGCACTTCTCCTGCAACTGACGAGCCGCCAACACCATATCTATAGTGCTGCAACCAGAACGGAATCCACACTGCTCTTTCGCCACGTTCGGTTCCACAAGCTGACTGACGAGGCGGTTGAGCAGGATTCGGGCGATCACCTTGCCCACACAACTCAACAAGTTGATGCCACGATAATTCGTGCAACATTGCTTGCTCTCTTTGCCCTTGTACAGTGGTAGCACAAACGCATCCTTCAGCTCTACAGGCACCTTCTCCTCAATCTATGCGCGCTGCACCAAGTTCTGCAGCGCATTCAACAACTCAGGTCCGCCGTATTTAAATACTTCAGGTGGGATCCCGTCGGCTCCGGTACACTTGCCGTTTTGCAGCTGAGCAAGTGCTCTCTGCGTCTAATCCAGTGTCGGAGTGTCCGCCAGACTGGCCTTCACATCTTGCTGTTTGAGGCCGTCCAAAGTACTTCAGTCGATCACTGAACGGTTGCTCAAGAGACAGTCAAAGTGTTTTCGCCAGATCTGCATTATTTCTGCAGTCTGTGTGCAGGTAGCGCCTGAACTACCATCGATCAGTGTCCTCAGCGGCTCCAATCTCGGTCGTTACAAAGCCTTCAAGGAGTCGAAGAATTCCTTGTGTAGGCAACGTTCGGTGTAGCATTCCATCTGCTTCGCCTTCTCCGTCCAGCATGCAATTTTTAATGCGGCGGAGCTCTCGAGTGAGTTGCCGTCGAAGTTTGCGAAACTGACTATTCTTCCTTAAGTCACTGAGGTCTGCCACATGTGCAGCAAATGCTGCATTCATCCCCTACACCAATGCGACAGTCGTCGCATTGTTCGCATCAAACCAATCAGGCCGCTTACAATTTGCGCGCTTAATGGTCTCCTCGGCAACAGCTGTCACCTGGTCGCGAATGTGGTGCCACAGGTCGCCCACTGTGGCTATGCATTCCACATCACACTAAGGGTGCAGTTATCACCTTCTCCAGATCAATACGCTTCTCCACGGTATCGAGGGAGAGAATGTTACATAGATGCCGATTCACGGTGGGAGTGCAATACATAGGTTTGCGAAAATATATGTACAGTTTGGTCCGTACCAATTTGTGATCAGTGCCACACTCAGTTCCACACAGTGCACGTGTCATGCGCACTTCACGGATCTCACGCTGACGTACGATGACATAGTCTTACAGCTGAGCGTCACCACTCGGTGGGTGCGTCCAAGTTGCTATATGCTTTGCGCGCAGTTCAAACCGAATGTTCGCGATCGTTAGGCTGTGGGTGTCACAATGAGAGCAGCCTGTCACAGTTCGCATTCCCTGAAGCAATGCCATGCGGACCGATGATATCTGTCCACGCTGATGCATCACGCCCAACGCGCGCGTTGAAATCACCCAGCAGAACTAGTCGGTCGCTCTTCGGCACAGACCGTATCACGGAGGATAGCTGAGTGTTTAATTGATCACGCGTATCATCAGGATAACACATGATTATAAACGTGGCCAACGTACCTATTCCAAATCGTGGGCCAGCAGTCCCGTGCTCTTGCCTGTTGGTTCAAGCACGAGCCGGTCGGATATTGCAAATCCCACCCCATGTTCACGTGGTGCTGAGGCTGCGTTGCCCACCCAGTAGCATGTGTAGCCATCACCTTCTTCATGCAACTTACCTTGCTTAGCGAGCCGGGTTCCACTGAGCGTCGCAATATCGATGTTGTGGCGCGCCAGTTCCATTGCGATGAATGCAGTGCGTCGCTCGGGGCGCTTACTGGAGTTCCGGTCCAGTAGTGTGCGCACGTTCCAGCATCCGATGCTGATTTTCGCGCAGGTGTACGGTTGCATTGGTGGCGGATGTGCTTCGGACGTTTGCTTGAGGGACTCCACTCGGAGTCTTTGGCTCAATAGCCTGAACCAGAAGGCAGTGGGGAGCAGATCCATCTCGGTAATGTGATTTCAGAGACAGATTGGAATCTATTTGACGGCCATCACGCAGGCTTTGGGGTACTGGAACGATTTCTATTTGTTTTGCGACCGTATTAGGATACGCATCTGTGACCGCGGCCAGGCGCAGGTGGGTTTTGGCGGATTTGCACCAATTTGACCAGGGGCTGCCTGGCTTTAGGCGGACAGTAGCAAACCATTGAGCACCAGGTGCTCTCCCACCGTCAGAGACAATGCGTGGCGCTGGAGCTCTACGCCAATCGAGCTGTGATCTTATAACCCGTAGACTTGTTGTCTCCCACGGCTATGTTTTACATGAAGAGGGCCATCGACCACTTCCTAAACTCCGAAGAGGATGGGCTAAGATACTGGCAGTTCGCTCAAACTTAACAGGAGAACGGCTCGGGTCCTCAGCCAAAACCTTCAATTAAATGAACACCCGAAAGGCAGCGGGTTTAGCACATGGTCATTTCACGGACTCATGCTGATTATTGTCCTGGATTTTATCCGGGAGAAGTGCGTTCCCCAACCCCCACTCAGCGGTCGCCACGAGGAGGCGTCCAGGATAAGAGACCATGGCGCAACTGTAGCAGCAGTGGGTAGACCATCTGTCAGGATCTAGCCACCACGAGCGTCAGCACGCCATAGGCTTCCTGCCTATATATATATATATATATATATATATATATATATATATATATATATATATATATATATATATATATATAAAGTCGATCCCAACTTATTCTTATTAAAGGGACGGGCAAGATTAATACTGTTTCAATGCGTAATGGATTGGGTTATGATGACGTGTGGATATTACATTTCCTCTTCCTATTTTTTTACTGTCTTGCCAGGGTTAGGGGTAAATAGCGATGGGGTTTCTATCATTGCAAAGTGTCATTATTCGCGAGATACTTTAAATGGCAGTTCATGTTATAGTGGTTTTAGTGAGTCAAGTTGTGCTGTCATCGAACCGATTCGTGGCGTCCCTTTCCATTCGCCTGTTGGGTGGCTGGCAGATTGCCGGGAGTCTTGGAACTAATATCTTCGTTAAAAATGTAGATCGTTCATGTTGGGAGCAAATCGGGTTGTTTTGAATTGTGGTGTCCGAATGATCGTGGGACATGACTAGTTCAGGTAGAAGCTGTCCAGTCGACAGCTGCACTCCTGGAGTGCCGTATTTTCTAGGCGGTTAATGCCCAATTTTCCTCTGACTCAGCTACTGTCTGGCTGATCCAATTGACCACGGTTCCACCACATTGGGAATCGCGGTCCACATTGAGATTGTGCATCGCAAGTCCATTCGCACAACGATTGCTTCTAAATCACCCATGCAATGTGATGATTCGTTTGGACTAGATGTGCCACTACTGCAGTGGTACACCTCTTGTTCAATCATCGGCCTAGCCTCGCTGGGTGATGCTCGCGGACTCGTTCATATAAACATCTTGTAGTGCGGCCCATGAAACTTGTTCCACAGGAACAGCGAAGTTGGTACGCAGGAAGTGGTGACATCACGGACTATGCGCAGCTCCTCAAGTTTCGTTTTCTTAGGATGGACAGAAGACAGCTGTAGTGTTTGAAAATACTCTATGCATAAGAACATACCATTTTTTGTACTTTGCTTCTGTGATCGGTCTCACGATGCGGTGAGGAGCTCCTCCGCATCACTGTTCCGTCTCCAGCTCTCCATGAAGATCTCCAACCGACTCAAACGCAATGTTTTTAGCTTAGTTGCACCTAAACCGACTACACTAAATAGTGAACTGAAATTTGTTTTTGCTTTTCTTAGGTTCCCGTGTTGCGGCCGCCTGGAACCGTGCGATGTGTGTCACAATGAAGCTGCGGGTGATGGCCATGAGCTGGAATTGGCCACACGGATGGTGTGTGGATATTGTTCCAAAGAGCAAAACTTCTCCAGCACAAGGCCATGTGTTCGCTGTGGCAAAACTTTGGTCGGTGTGCACTCCGCCCACTGGGAAGGCGGCAAAGGGTGCCGAAACAAGGTGACTATGTCTCGCAAAGACACCAGAAAGTATGCGCAAACCAATAAGACGGTATCGAGAGCGAAGTTAAAATCCCAACTTGCCTGAATTTCATTTTCAAAAATACACAAACACAAAGCACCTGTTTCTGGTTCTTCTAACCACCCGCTCCGGAGACTCTAGAATCAACCAAGATGATCCCGCTTCTGCTCTTGTGAACTTATTTTCTGTTAAGTCAACTCACATGGATTACTTTCGTCGATAGATGACTTTCTGATCAACTTTTTCTTCTGCTTTCAAAGGCTGAATCCTGCTATGTTGAATAGCACTGTTGACTGCACTTTGTGTATATAAATAATTGCTCAGTAGTAAAAGTTCACAGAAACATCACACCTTGCTTTATCTCTGATGCACTTTCGGGTTCTGGTAGGTTTCATATACAGTGTTTATCACGTATCTTTTACAAAATGCAGAAACAACTAGTGTAGTATCCTTATGTTCGTGGTCTATTATTGCTGGAATTATCATTTGACTTACACTGCCTACGTAATGTCACGCGTTAGTGGGAAAGGAACGACTTCGTTCCACACTATGATTCAACTGCAGGCCATATATATATATATATATATATATATATATATATATATATATATATATCATCAACATCATCATCATCCACAGCCGTACATCAGCCATTTGAACTAATGCTTCGTTGCCATACAACCATGAGGACCTATGAAAAAAATAAAAAGAGAGAGAAGGGGGACTTACCTGAAAACCTTAATGCCCTAAGCAAACATTCAGGGTCAAGGCGCCTACACCTTGTGTAGACAACATACCGTCACAAACAGCTGACTATCGTGCAAAGATAAGGCGGCATCGGCGAGACAGCTTCCTTACGGCTTTCACTGCCACGCGTCATAATCAGCTATTAGCCCACAAATAACAGCACCAAACACACTTTAAACAGGCAATCCGATTAGGAGACGGCAGCAGACGCGCCACTGCTGTCGGTTGCGAGCCATGTCCTGTAAACTCTCGAGCCAAGCACAAGGCGAGTCACGTGGACTCCAACCCAAAAGACGAGACTGACCAACGGTACCCAATTTGGTTGTCAGTGACTTCATTTCCCGCTGCCAAGTCAACTTCTGTCCACCGCGAGCCTTGCGCCACTCTACACCTGGCAGACTAAACAAGGCCATCCTAGGCAAGCGGTGACCAGGCATACGCAGCAGTGCCCGAGCCAACGCAACTTATTCAGTGCTATCTGTTGTTCTAGGGAGCTAGCATGATTATCACAACCTACTACTCGCCTACACACATCATCATTGCGGACACGCTGGTGCCATGCGACACCAGCAATGTTTCGCAGACGGCGATGATCAAAGACTTGAAGGCGCCTCAGCTCTTCATACCCAGGGGGCCAAGTCTCACTGCCATACAGCGGAACGGCCGTCACTGTGGTCTTGTATACCCGGCCTTTCAGACGGAGGGAAACTCCCTTCTGTCGCCAAAGATGCCGCAGATTCAAGAAGGTAGCTCTAGCTTTTGCAGTGCGTGAGCTGACGTCAGTTTCTATGCGCCCATCATTGCTGACCAGCTGCCAAGATAAGTGAAATGATCAACCACATCGAGTTCCTCGTTAGCAAACGTCAAGCGGAGATCAAGTGGCTGGTGGTCCTGCAGCAACACTTTGCACTTTGAAGGTGCGAAGTGCATACCAAATAATGGGACCACTCTGGACAGGCTATTCAGGGTTGATTAGGCCGCCCCAACATCTTCGAAAAGCAAGACGATATCGTCCCCATAATCAAGATCAACTAGCCTTCACCAGGCAGTACTTCAACGTCTACATCGTTGGATTCCGCAAGGGAACACTCCATGATAGAATCCACGACGAAATTGAACGAAAAAGGGGAAATCGGACAACCCTGATGAACGCCACTTGTGGTCGGAAAGCTATCCGATAGGACACCGTAAACCCTGACGCGGCCTGTAGTGTTCGAGTATAGAGCACGAAGGATGTTCACATATTTCGTGGGAACACTTTTCCGCGCAAGTATTTCGAACAGAGTCGATCGATCGACTGAATCGAACGCACCCTTGAAATCGAGGAACACAGCTATTGTCGGTCTGCGGTATGCGTGGCGCTGCTCTAGCACCTGCCGCAAAGTGAATATATGGTCTATACAACCATTTCCTGGGCGGAAACCAGCCTGCTGTTCCCTAATCCGAGCTTCCCGTTCTGCAGTGAGGCGACGAACGATACTGGAGGCCAATAATTTTGTCACAGTTAGCGTTAGGCTAATACCCCTGTGGTTAGAACAGTCTGTGCGACTGCCCTTCTTGTATATTGCCACTATAATCGACTCGCTCCAATTAGCCGGGACACTCACTTCTTTCCACACACATACGAATAAGGAGGTCAGTGCTTTGCAGAGGACCTCACCTCCATCCTTAAATTGTGCAGGTGGGAGGGAATCCGGGCCAGCGGCACGAAAACGATTGAGGGCTATAATCGCGTTTCGGACCTCGGCCTCCGACGGAGGCTCTAAACTAACCGTCCATGGCACGTCCTGCATCACCTGAGTAGGAAGAGGTCCGGGAGCAGGAGGCCAGCTGAACTGACCATGAAAGTGTTCCGCCCAGCGAGCCATACGGCGCTCCTTACTGTGTATCAGCGCACCCGCGCTGTCTCTGATTGTGTCACTGACGCCTGGTTTTCTGGGACCGGTGGTGCGGATAAGCTGGAAGAGCTTGCGGTAATTGCCTACAGCCCCTTCCTCCTCCATTTCTTGAGCCCTACTTGTCCACCAGGCTTCCTTGTCAGCACGCAGGCTCTGCTTTAGTTCACGCCTAATAGCCCGTCTGATCACATTGTGTTCAGAGACGGCCGGGAGGTGTCTTCTAGATTCCAACAGGTTCACCGACGTATCGGATATCCAGTGACTGGTGCGGTGACGATGGATAGTGCCACAAACAGCTGTTCCTGCATCGTGCATGGCGGCCGAGATCCTACTTCACTGAAGCTCGTCGTCATTAGGATAAGACTGCGGAAGTTCAGTATGCTTGATAGGCTTGCCTTACCGAGGACTGAGACGATTTCTCAGTTGCCAACCGTAGGGGACGCTTTGTGCGCCTCCCGGTAAAGTTCATGGAGAAACAACAACGTACCAAGGCATGATCAGAGTCGACACAGGTACTCCAGTACGAACGGCAATCCAGGATGGAACCACACCATCTGTAACCTATGGCGATGTGATCAATTTGGGTCCATCGCTGGTCAGCCACAGAAGGACGCCAAGTGGCATTTCGGCGACACTGTGTCTAAAGGCAGTGCTACTAAGAAACAACTGGTGCTCCGCACACAGTTGCAGCAGACGCTCACCGTTGTCAGCCCGTTTGGAGTTAAGTCCACATTTACCACCTAGCTGAGCTTCTGAAGAGCTCAGACGCCCTACTTGTTCGTTCATATCCTTTGCAAGTACTATAACATCTGGACTAGTAGCACTGCTTAATAGCGCATTCAGTTCTTGATCGAATGTGTCCTTGACAGCATTTGAACTGCAGTCGGTGAGAGCATAAACGGAAATCACGAACAAACAGCGTTTTGTACTACTTCGTGAATCAACCTTAGCTGATGTCGTCAAACGGGCTGCACATAAACGGCTGTTCACGGGAATCCAATCAACCAACGATGGCTCAGCCTTGGAGCTTAGAATGATAACTACACTATATATATATATATATATATATATATATATATATATATATATATAATCACAATCCGTGGTACAAATATTGTGCCATCAGAATCATAGTGGAATAAGGAAACAGGATAAGAATAAAAAAAGTAAAACATCTACTTTTCACTCAATTTTTGAGTTTTTAATTGTTTGTTTTACTAGGGAAGTGAAATCAACGCAATACGCAGAGATGCATGTTCGCCATTGACGTCGGTCTCGAGGCATGACCTCCTGGATCTCTAACCAGCGAGTGGCTGCCTCCAGCCAAGACATGTTGTCTAACTTCCACATTGTTTACGTGGTGCAGCCGGCACATACGGGCAATGGACCGTCAGCAACGGTGCTCAAAGACAGATAACGCAGGTCAACGCTTCGAACAGGTCAAGTTTCGCAACAGTACAGCACCGACAGTCACGCAATAAACCAGCCCTCTGTTGGATAAACAGATGTCATGGCGGCGCCACAAGTGCCTTCGCTTAAAGGAAGACCAACGCTTGAGATACACATCAAAACCTCGTCTCCAACAGCTCCACCAAAAATGATGCAGCTTCTCAGGTAGCCTATACTCTCCAAAAGTAGGTGCAGTTACAGGCATCTGAAAATTTTGTAAAAGCTTCATATGGATTGGGAAAAGCCATCCCATACTTTGGCGCTTCAATTGCCAAGCCTTTAAGTGCAAGTTGGACGACCTGTTGACCGTCACCCAGCAGGACGATAGCATCAGCGTAATCGGCTACCTGCGAAGAGCTCAACGCCAGCGCTCAACGAATCTTCCAAAACATTTTTGACGATCTCTTCAATGACAAAATTGAAGAGGAGTGTGTATAGGACGCCCTTGTCGAACTCTACTGGTGACAGCAAAGGATGGCGAAAGTTTGTCGTAAGCCCTAACTCTGCTCGAGGTGAAACTTTACATAGTACGCAGTACGCAAACGAATTTCTAGGGGGCGCCATTCCTCAACAAGCAGTGTCACAATGCAGTCCTGTCGATAGAGTCGAAGGCAGCACGGATATCCAGGAACAGTTCTGGCGAAATGTGAAAATTTGATCGATGCAGTCGCGGCCCGGGCTGAAACAAGCCTTTTCTTCTCGCAGTAGTGATTCGGGAGTTAGGAATAGTCTTGGAGATATTATGGACACCAAAACCTTGCAAACGACGGGAACCAAGCTGATACTCCCTGTGCTTGGGGCACATTTTGCGCAAGACATTTTTTGATGATAGGGACGACTATCGACACACCCCAAGATGATGGGACCTCCTCTTTAACCACTTCTGAGAACAAAGCAGTAAGCTCTCCAATCAGCGAATAGCCACCATCTTTACATAGGGAAGCAGGTAAGCGATAGCCTTATAGTGCTGCA